AGCTATTTCAACTCCTAAAAGATAATGCTGTGAAAGTGCTCTACTCCATATGCTAGCAAAGTTGGAAAACTCAGCAGTGGCCATGGGACTGGAAAAGATCCACTTTCATTCCAATCCCTAAGAAAGGCAATGCCAAAGAATGTTCAAACTATCGCACAACTGTACTCATTTCACATGCTAGTAAAGTAATGCTCAAAATTCTCCAAGCCAGGCTTCAACAGTACGTCAACCGTGAACTTCCAGATGTTCAGTCTGGATTTAGAAAAGGCAGAAGAACCAGAGATCAAATTGCCAACACCTGCTAGATCATTGAAAAAGCAAGAGCGTTCCGGAAAAAAACATCTATTTCTGCTTTATTGACTATGCCAAAGCCTTTGACTGTGCGGATCACAATAAACTGGAAAATTTTGAAAGAGATGGGAATACCAGACCACCTGACCTGCCTTTTCAGAAATCTGTATGCGGGTCAGGAAACAACAGTTAGAACTGAACATGAAACAACAGACCGGTTCCAAATAGGAAAACAGACTGGTTCCAAATAGGAGTACATCAAGGCTGTATATTGTCACCCTGCTTATTTAACTTATATGCAGAGTACATCATGAGAAAGTCTGGGTTGGATGAAGCACAAGCTGGAATCAAGACTGCTGGGAGAAATATCAGTAACCTCAGATATGCAGATGACACCACGCTTATGGCAGAAAGTGAAGAAGAACTAAAGAGCCTCTTGATGAAGGTGAAACAGGAGAGTGAAAAAGTTGGCTTAAAGCTAACATTCAGAAAACTAAGATCATGTCATCTGGTCCCATCACTTCATGGAAAATAGATGGGGAAACAGTGAAAACAGTGGCCGACTTTACTTTGGGGGGCTCCAAAATCACTGCAGATGGTGATTGTAGCCATGAAATTAAAAGACGCTCGCTCACTCCTTGGAAGGAAAGCTATGGCCAACTACACAGCATATTAAAAAGCAGAGACATTACTTTGCCAACAAATGTCCATCTAGTCAAGGCTATGATTTTTCCAGTAGTCATGTATGAATGTGAGAGTTGGACTATAAAGGAAGCTGAGTGCCAAAGAATTGATGCTTTTGAACTGTGGTGTTGGAGAAGATTTTTGAGAGTCTCTTGGGCTGAAAGGAGATCCAACCAGTCCATCCTAAAGGAGATCAGCTCTGGGTGTTCATTGGAAGGACTGATGTTGAAGCTGAAACTCCAATAGTTTGGCTACCTGATGCAAAGAACTGACTCCTTGGAAAAGACCCTGATGCTGGGAAAGATTGAAGGTGGGAGGAGAAGGGGATGACAGAGGATGAGATGGTTGGATGGGATCACCGACTCAGTGGACATGAGTTTGGGTAAACTCCAGGAGTTGGTGATGGACAGGGAGGCCTGGTGTGCTGCAGTCCATGGGGTGGCAAAGAGTCAGACACAACTGAGCAACTGAACTGAACAGGTTACTTGACTGTTTGGAGATCCTCACCATAATTCATAGCACCACCACCAGCAGCAACTAGCCTCATCTTTTATCCTGCACCCCCACCTCCATTTAACCCTAGCTGCAGTGACCTCCTTCTCTAGCGAGCTCTGAGCTCCTTCCACAGCAGGACTCTGTTCACACTGCCACTTCCATCTGGAATTCTTCCTCAGCCCCAAGCATCAGCTACTCCACATTCAACCTTTAGGACTCAATCCAAATGTCACTTCATCAGGGAAGATTTACCACTTCTTCATTACTGGCTATGATCTCTCCATTTCCTAACAGTCTTCATTTCTTTTGGCTAGTACTAAAACAATAATTCCATCCTATCTCTTTCTGTCTAGACTAAGCCATTGGAGGCTGGGCTGACTACATCTGTCTCGCTCACTACCACACATCACAATGCCCAAAAGCTGACACATCAGAGTGGCTCACTTGTGAATGGCTGGACACTTCCCTGCCTGGCTCCTGAGCCAGTTAGAACTCTCAAAGGATAATCAAAGTCAATGCTTCTCAACTTTTAACAGGCACTAGTCACCAGGAAAGTATAAATTACGATTTAAGATATCTGAACATTCTGCCCTTCTCACAAGTTCCAGGAGATGCCAGTCCTGCTGGTCCTACACTTTGAGAAGCAAGGCAACACCTTATAAAATCCAATGACAATACAGACACATAGGACAAACAGTATGATTCTACTCATATGAGGTACCTAGAATAGTCAAACCCACAAACCTGAAAGTAGAAGGGTGGTTGCCAAGAGCTGGGAGGAGAGAGTTATTGTTTAATTATTATAGAGTTCCAATTTGGGATGATGGATGTTGCTGATTGTTGCACAATAATGTGAAAGTACTTAATGCCACCTAATTGCACACTTAAAATGAATAAAATATAAATTGTATATTACATTTTACTATAATTTTTAAAAATAACTATACAAATGATACCCAAATTGGTCTTGCTATGAGGAATCTACCATGGGCCCAGGTATGGGCACTCTGTGCTGGGCACCAAATGTGCATCTCAGGTGCCAAGATCAAAGGTAGAATTAATGCTAATTAATTCTTTCCTAACTCTGCCAGGAAAGTTGACATTGAATAATGGTCACAGGCCTGTACATCAGGCAGTTTCTGACCTAAACAGAGGGCTCTTTTGAGCGACAAATTGCTTGTTAAAGATCTGGCAGAACCTGAAGCTGATTTAGCTTGTACATGTAAAGCACATTTTCTGATATAAACAAGTTTCATTCTTTTCAGCCAACATCCCAGATAAACATTACTATTGGAGTGGAAAATTTTAGCTTGAAACTGAAGTTCCTAATGCATATAACATGGTGCCTCCCAAAGTAAAATGCTTTACCAGAATGTGAGCCTCAACATCACGGTGATATTGAAATATGACTATATTTACTGAGGGAACTTGCAACCAGTGGCACTGGCTGGGCTCCCACTAGAAAGTTAAAAGGTTTGTGTGAACTCTTATCTACTCTTCCTTTGATTTGTTTTTTATTGGAGTATAGTTGTTTTATGATGTTGTGTTAGTTTCTGCTGTACAACAAAGTGATCAGCTATGTGTTGTGTTGTAATAAGTTGCTTCAGTCATGTCTGACTCTGTATGACCCTATGAACTGTAGCCCACCAGGCTCCTCTGTATATCCCCACCCATGGTGGGACTTTTCTTCCACCCCTCCCATGCCATCCATCTAGGTCATCAAAGAGCACCAAGCTGAGCTCCCTGTACTATATAGCAGATTCCCACTAGCTATCTATTTTACACATGGTAGAGTATATATGTCAATCCCAATCTCCTATTAAAAGCAATGAAATTGCATCACTTGTAGATACGTGCATGGGCCTAGAGACTGTCACTCTTTTACTGTTAGAGTGAAGTAAGTTAGAAAGAGAAAAATAAATATTGCATATTAACACATATTTGCAGGGCAGAAACAGAGATCAGATTATCTTTTGGATTTTGATGATATATTATATATTGAAGCTATGGCATATCATGTACAAGATAAGGAAATTTTCCACAATAAGTTGAGGAGGGTATTAAACCTTACACAAGATGACAAAAGATTTTAGGATCATGGATTATGTGTCATATGCCTCTGTAACTTAAAATAAGTTAAATTTCTCTCCCCATCTCTGTACCTGCTTGAGTCTTTCTGGATTGAACAAGTTTTGTGACCATAAAATGAAGATGAAAAAATTCATAGATGCCCATTTTTCATGGAGAATGCAATAAACAATGTGTTTTGGGTCCAAGACTGTTCTGCTTATTTTATTTTCCAAAAATTGATCTATATAGGTTGCTGATGCTCTAGGGAAACTTTAACTCAAAATTGAGACTAGAGCTTGTTTACCATTTATCCAAACAAAACCAGGTTCTGCACAAGTGATTCTAATAATGTTCAGTGTGACCCAGAGATTAACGCTAAGAAACTCCCTGCAAAGGGTGATTGGATACAAATTATCTCAGCTTCTTCCATGTTTGTTGGCTCTCCTTACATGCTCTAAAGCTTCCTCAGAATGCATAGAAGTACTAAGTGAAAGAAAGCATTTACTGAAAGAAAGGTTTACGTAAATATAATAATTTGGAACAAACCTCATACTTGCAAAACTTGCTGACAATGAGTGGCTTGCTCTCATCCAGCTCCCATAATTCATCAGCACCTGTTGGTGGTGGAGAGGAGACTGAGTGAAACAAGCTTGGTTTACACCAAGATAGCAATTCACTTCTAGGATTCAAGTAGTCACTAAACTAACAAAATTATTTCTGTAAAAGGAGAGTCCACATCTTTAGAGAGTTTAACTAACAAGCCATTTAGCTTTATCCTGGCATTATTGTTGTCCTACTAACAGACCAGAAAACTAGGTGGGGAAAGCTTCCAGAAAAAGACAGGGGGAGGTGGGATGGCTGGTAAAATCCATCATTCTGCTTCCAGTAAGAAAACATTGGAAATTAAGTTCTTAGGAGACAAAGATGAATCTCCAAAATGATCTAAGTAGCACACGGTCCAGTATGGTTAAATCGTTACCATTATTTGGACACTAATAAATATTTGTTGAACAACTTGAATAAATGTCTTACACAGTCATAAAAAAAAAATATGTTGAATAATTCAGTGTCTTTTCAGTGACTGGCTAAGTAGGAAAAAACCTTTAAATAACTTTCCCAACAACGTATCTTTCTTATCTCATTCAAGATCCAATCTAGGAACATATGTCACATTAGATTTTCATGCTTCATCAATATGCCTGAATCTGAAGTAATTCCTCAGCCTTTTTATGTCCTTCATTTCTTTGGTACACATACACTTATTTTGTTTTTGTTAGTTCACACCCTCCTGGGTTCCTGACTCTAGTGGTGCAGGTTCCTAACCAATTGGGCCCAGCATGGCCCAACGTGGCTCCGGGGCAGACCTTCTTGCCACGCAGGCGCACGAAAGCTGGGGTTGCCTGCCAGCCTGTTCCCTAGGCAACGCGGTTCAAAACGCTCGCCGTAGAGGCACTGGCGCGATGTGCTTCGGCAAAGCAGGTGAGGAGGGCTGAGTCAGAGTAGAGGCAGAAGGAAGATGGGGAGACAGGGAAAGACCAAGAGGGAAAGGAGGGAAATGTAGTTTGCCCGTCTCCTTGGATTGGTGACGGTTTCGTTAAGAGTGCAGTCTGCTCAGGTCTCGGCCACCTTTCCCCACACCCGCCCCTGCCCCCAACCCTCGTTTGGACCACAGGGCTTTCCTTCATGTGGGTTTCTCCTCTTCCTCGCTCTCCAGAGACGCTGGTTAACTACTCCTTTGGAACTTGTCAACATAGGAAGATCTTTCCTTACTTCCATCCCCCAAACTTACTGGGGAACAAGTTTCTCCCTATTAGGGGAGTGCCCCACAGAGGGCCTGGATGTTATATAGCAGAAGAGGTGAGTATTCACCTTCCCTCAGGTGGTGTCAGTTCCCAGACTATCTGAGGATACCCAAGTTTCCTAGAAGAAAAGCCCTGTGCATTTGTCACCTTCTGGGTCCCAGCATGAGAAAGTGCTCTCTGGTCCTCTGTCTGCAACCAGCTGTCAGGGCCATTATCAGAAAGTAAAGGGCCATTACTCGCATTTGCCATCCCCACCAAATGCAAGCCTTGGCCTCATGCCATCCCCAGTAAGTGTTCCTTCATCATTCACACCTACAAAGGCCAGTGACTAAATATTTCCTCTTAGTCCAAACCTACTGTGTCTGTGCTGGTAGGTAGTTTATGAAATCATAATCAGATTCAGTTGAAACCATATAAAGCTGATTCAGCTCTGTAGGGCTCAGAAAAGTAGATTCACTGGATTCAAATGTCATTCACTCTACCTATCCAGCCACACTGCTTTGTATAGAAGCCTGTGTTACACATGTAATTGTTTGGTCTTAATTCAGAGGAATCAAGAAAGAAAGGGCAACTTGAGCAGAGAAGATTCAGGGATACTAAGATCACTCTGTTTTAATAACTATAATGTTCTCTATGCGTGTTTTGTCTTTGTTTTCTACATAACACATGAAGAGTAAAGACTTGGCATACAACCTCGCTAAGATCCCAACCAGTATAAAAGGATATGGTTTTGGAGCCAGAACAGCTGTGAGGTTTAAGCCAAAGAACAAGGTTAGAAATGGCTGGACATGCTTAGATTTCAGTGTGATCCATGTTGCTGCTTGTATTTGTATTGGGGAGCACGGTTGGAGGTTACCTAAAGTATATCCTGAAATTCAAGATGAAAGTCATCTGGACAAAAGCTACTAAGGAGTCTACATGAAAACTTGGGTGTTAATATGGGAAATGTGTGTGTAAGTGTCCTGGGAGAGTGGAAAATAATTCTCAGAAGAAATGGTACCAAGGCAGGGCTTCAGTCCTGAGACACCTGCTGATAAAATACTGGAAGCTTTGTTTATATGCATCATATGATTATATGTAATATATAGTATAATATCTTATCAGTTAAAAAACCAGTTCTAATTACTTAACATTTTTGTGTGATTGGATTTTGAGTCTTCAGTATAGGTTCCTAATCTCTTGTTGGACATTTCTTGACACTTAAGCTCAGGGAGAGGGATACTGGCTCCAAAAGAAAATCTGAGTGGGATGGTGGGATGGTGGGGATAGTAGCTACGATAGGTTACCTTGGCTCTCTGTCCCCCTAGGCTTATTTCTACAGCCAAAACATTTGGTACTTTTAGGTAGCTGAACCATACTCTTATTTTGGTTTTCTACCTACTGTAGGCCTAATTCTATAGCTTGATATAGTTAAACCATAGCTGATACATGAAGAGGGGGAGGATAAGTTTATTTTTTCTACTTAGAAGTCTTTACATATATATACATCACCCTCTGACATATTGATCTTTTTCTTGGAAACAGGATGTGACACCTTACCCAGGCATGTACCAGACAGTCAATCTTCAGGAGCAAACACACAAACCAAATTTTGCTCCATTTAATACCTTGTCACCTCGCTTTCGGACACACTCAAAGGACCCTTGTTATCCTGGGTATGTGCCCCTTCTTCTGGTGCACTTCAACAAAGAGCAATAGGGAAGGAAGTACAAAAAGGGGTTACATACCAACCGTGCCCTCTAAATAAGAAACCATCTAGCTTTAAAGATTCAACCTCTTGCCTTCCAGGTTTCTAGAATTATGAAATTGTAGACTGTGGTGATTCATTCAATAAATATTTATAAAAGGCCAAGAAGTTGTGTAGGTTCCAAAGATTTTGCATTACACCCATCATCATTTCTTGGAGTTTACATTCTACAGTCCAGACAGGTGAGAAGCAAATAAACAAGAAAATAATCAGTGGTGATAGAGAGTGACCATATAATTTATTAGTCAGCATGTGACACTTCTGAGACTTTAAAGGAGGTCTTAATAATTATACCAAGACAGTAGCCATGAGCTGGGGCTACCACAGGTACACCCGGAAGTATGGTGACCTGGTGGAGTGCTGAATAACACCAAACAAGAGGATATCATAGGGGGGCTTCCCTGTTAAGAAGAAGGACTAGTTCAGGTACACAGGTGGTACTGATGAAGCTTGTGGTCACTACAACCCACTCCAGCATTCTCACCTGGAGAATCCCATGGACAGAGGAACCTGGTAGGCTACAGTCCACGGAGTCACAGAGAGTCAGACGTGACTGAAGTGACTAACACTTTCACATCCAACTCTTTGCGATCCTGTGGACTATAGCTTACCAGGCTCCTATGTCCGTGGGATTTCTCCAGACTAGAGGTGACTGCTAGGTGGTCACTAACTCTTCAACATAAGGTTTTATATTTTTATTTCTAGCCCTGGCACATATAAACTAGAGAAAAAGGCACCCCAGAAAGTCACCTGGCCAATGAAATTTGGATCTCCAGATTGGGCTCAGGTTCCATGTCTACAGAAAAGAACCCTGAAAACTGAGGTAATATGATTGGACTTCTGTGGAACCTTTACCTAATACTTCCACATGTATCAGTGATTCTTAACCAGGGGTCTATAAATAAGCTTCAAGAAATCCTTGATCCCCTGAAATTACTTGCACAATTTTGTGTAATATATACATATGGTAAATTTTGGAGAGTTACACAATTTCACTAGATTTCTAAAGGTGTATGTGACTGAACAAAAGTCACAGTTTCTTATGTAGTCCTCAGGTAATCTTTGTGGTAGTCTGAGATAATTATCCTCTATGATTGAGGAGGAAACTGAGGATTGTGCTGTGCTGTGCTTAGTCACTCAATTGCATCCGACTCTTTTGGAAAAGGTAATGGCAACCCACTCCGGTATTCTCACCTAGAGAATCCCATGGACAGAGGAACCTGGTGGGGTAGAGACCATGGGGTCACAAAGAGTCAGACATGACTGAAGTGACTAACACTTTCACATCTGACTCTGCAACCCCATGGACTGTAGCCTGCCAGGCTCCTCTGTCTGTGGGAATTCTCCAGACTAGAATACTGGAGTGGGTTGCCATGCCCTCCTCCAGGGGATCTTTGCAACCCAAGGATCAAACCCAGGTCTCCCACACTTCAAGTGGATTCTTGACCAGCTGAGCTACCAGGGAAGTCCAAACTGAGGCTTAGATGGATTAAATGGCTTGTTGAAGTTGCTCAGCTAGAGTCTAGATCATGTGACTTCTAAGCCAGTGCTCTTCCCATCACATTACTTAGTGTTAGATCATCAAGGTACAGTGGATCGTTCTGGCAAGAACATGGATTTTAGGAACAGACTGCCTGAGTTCAAACACTAGTTCCATATTTGTTTGCCATGTATCCTCTAACTTTTCTAAGCCTCAGTTTGCTTATCTTTAGAATGGATGTGAACTAGACTTGATCTGATGAAGTTGTAAAGATTGAGACATTATAGCACCAGACCTGTAGCATAATAAATGGTCAGTCCGTGTCACTTATAATAATTCCAGAAGTGTCCTTTTTCCCCTGGTGGAACTTTGGATTAATTCTGCAAGTGTTTATTAAATGCCAAGTGTACTAACTCTGGAGAATGAAATGGCAGCCCACTCCTGTACTCTTGCCTGGAAAATCCCATGGACAGAGGAGCGTGGTAGGCTATGGTCCATGGGGTCGCAAAGAGTTGGGCACAACTGAGCAACTTCACTAAGTGTACTAACATCATTTTGCTAGGGCCTACAGGTAACATTCAAGAATTAAACACATAATCTTTGTTTTCAAGAAATTAACCAGCTATACTTGATGATTTGCCAAGTAGAAAATAATCCCTAGCATGATATATTCCAGAAAAAGATGACAAAGAGTAGATATACAGAGCAATGTTGAGAGATTCACTAGGTTAGGTTACTATGTGGTTGGGGCTCAGGTAGGCTAAAACAGCTCTAACATACGGGTCTATTTCACACATCCAGGAAGACCAGAGGCAGGGAGTTCTCATGTGAATTTTGACTTTGACAGTATTTTTCATTGCAGCTGTCCACAGACAAGGACTTTAGAAAGCATCGGAACCATTTGGCCTACCTAAGCTTATACTACAACTGAAAAGCTGTGACTACCTTCACATGCTCCTGCTGACCACAGACTCTCCAGGACTGAGGACAGCTGCTCTTGTCCTTCTGCATTGCTCTGACCCTCCTGTCTGCCAGCATGGGGTGCAGGGAGGGGCAAAGGGCTCATAATTACTATATGACTGCATAAAGACTCATTGTACAGAGGGTGCTCTCTCCACATGCTGGTTTGTTGTGTAAAAGTGTAGAAGGGTCAGAGGGTTTCCTAACTGAGTGCTCAGTAGAGTGGCTTCACTTTACTGAAATATTATACTTGTGCATCCCTGCCCTCTAGCTATAAGTCCCGGAAATGAGTTTTATGTTTTCTACTGCTAGCCCTGGCGATAGGAGATTGTTGGTCTATACATATCAAGGATTTGGATGGCTTGCTAGACTTTGTATTTGGACTTGCTATATGTAGAGGACACTTAAGGCAGAGTAAATATTTTAGGGCTCTTCCAATTCCTAGACAAGGTGGCAGAGTAGAAAAAACTTCATGAACTCACCTCTTCTCACAAGCACACCAAAATCACAACTCACTGCTAAACAACTATTGATTAAAAAAAGACTGAAACCTGCCAAAAAATATCCTGCATCCAAAGACATAAAGAAGTAACCACAATGAGACACTAGGAGGGGTGCACTTGTAATATGATCAGATCTCACAAACTGAAAAATAATACGACAGAAATTCTTCCACAGGTGTGAAAGTTCTGAGCTCCATGTCAACCTCATATTTGACCTCAAGAAGAACAGCCTCCAGAGTCTTTGACTTTGAAGGCTGGTAGGGATTAATGGCAGGAGCTTCACAGAACTGGGGGAAATAGAGACTCCACTCTTAAAAGCTACACACAAAATCTCATGCACACCAAGACTCAGGGCAAAAGCAGTAACTTCATAGAAGCCTGAGCAAGACCTATCTGTTGGGATTTTGAGGGTCTCCTGGGAAGGTGAGGAGAGTGGTGGCTCATCCTGGGGACAAAGATACTGGTGGTAAAAATATTGGGGTGGAAGGGTGGGAATTCATCTGCATGAACTCTGACTGGAGGTAGACATCTTGCTTGGATCATTAGCAGCAAGACCTGACCCCATCCAACAGACTCTAGGCTCCAGAGCTAGGATGGCTCAGGCCAAACAACAAACTGGGTGGGGATGCAGCCCCATCCATCAGCAGACAGCCTGTCAAAAGACTTCCTGAGCCCACAGCCACCTTTAAACATGCTCCTTGACATGGCCCTGCCTGCTGGAGGACCAAGACCTCCAGTTCCACTCACCACTGGGAGGCACTGGCCCCTCCAGGGGCCAGACAAACCAGGAAGCCTGACAAACCTCTAGTCTAGGCTCAGACACCAGAGGGCAAGCATCATAAGGCAGAAAACTATAATCCTGCAGTCTGAGGAACTGAGTCTGTAAACAGGTCAGAACTTACCCTGAGACCACTGATCCCTAGTCCTTGGGAGATGAATGGGGAGTGTACTCCTAGGTTACATAAGACATACCCTACAGAGAGTCACTTCTCCAAGGCTGAGAAATATAACAACTAACATTCCACCTACATAAAAATACAAATAGTTTAGACAAAATGAGATGGCAGAGAAGTATGCTTCACTTGAAATAATGTAAAACCCCAGAAGAACAACTAAATGAAGTAGAAAGAGCCAGTCTACCTGAGAAAGAGTTCAAAGTAATGATTATAAAAAAGATCCAAGAACTTGGGAAAGGAATGGATGCACAGAGTGAGAAGTAACAAGTTTTTTAACAAAGAGAAAATATAAAAGACAGAGTTGAAGAATACAATACCTGAAAAGGAGTTCTTCCAAGTGTCCGAGTTTCCTGGTGTGGAGTGGGAATGTCACAATTGGATAGCCTGTCCTAGATTCGTGTAAAACCAAGTCAAAAATCCTCCTTTTCCCATAACATCATCTATTTAGTCTGTCAGTCATCATCATACTGAGTTCCTACCATGCAAATCAGGCGGAGTGGCAAGCACTGGGGTCACAAAAGGAATTAAAATAAACTCATCTACTGACTCCTTGGGCCTGGACTGAAGTACAAGAAGGACCTCTCGGGGAGGTTAGTGGATTGGCCACCCTGCTCTCCCCATTTTGGTGATGTCCTGAAGTCTCACAAGTTACTCTAAATGTGCCAATATCAGATCTCATAGAAGCTGCATTCAAAGTACTTATCTAGACACTACCTGGTATGTACCCCACTCTGTGAATATTTATATCTTTCAAACCATAGATCTTGGTGAAATGGGCTGCTGATAAGCTTAGGATTCAAAGCCAGAACTGTATTTTTTTTTTACATTGTTCATAACATATCTATAGCTCTTAATATTGTCACAACCAAACCACTTAGTATTTTTATAAGCATATAGGACTTTTTGGTCTTCAATTCTGGCTTTACTTAGGAATGTACAGCTCTGTGGAGGAATGAGGAAGGCAACACTGAACATGTCAGATTATGTCATGTGTTGGAGGAGAAAGGACTTTAAATGGGAGAAAAATAGTAAGAAATGGGAAGGAGATGGAAAAGGGGACATTATGAAATATATACATTAAGTTCACATATGTATCTCAAAAGTGATTTTGTTTCATAAAATGAACACAAATCTCTATGAAAACAGGCAGCTAGCAAGTGAAACTTTAATTCTGTACATAGGAGAGATTGAGAAATGGTAAGCATGACCATATGTGCTGAGATCATTCTTCCACAGACACTTGAGTAACAAACACTGCTAATCATTCCATGTATTTTCAGCACAAATTTTGAGTAAATTCTTTCAATTCAGGTTGGTGGAGAAATCATAATATTTGCTCTCCCCAGGCTAGTCTGTTGAAATCCTTCTCCAACCATTTACATGGATGTAATAAAATTCAGTATAGCTTTAGGCTGTGGGAAAGATGGTACCATACACTTCAAAATCCCAAAAGACAATTCAGATAGTTTTTTTTCAGTGAAAAGTATTCCATAGCCATCAACCTGCCTTTCCACAGATCTATGAAAGCCAGGGTATAAAATCTCAAGAATATAAGAATAGCAAGATGACTTGGAGGGTTGAAGAATTTTCCCCAGGGCATTTTAGCTTGAATTAGCCATGGTGGTTACTTCATAGTAAGTCCAGAAGCCAGTCTCATGTGTGTAAGGACCAGATGACCCTGCTCCGAAAACTGGGGTACAGACTGAGGTGTCAGAAGTGTTGAGCTGGAAGGTCCTACCATAGGTGGTGAACTCCATGATGAGTTTCTCTAAAGGGATGCCATTGTCTCTCCAGTACTTCACAGCATATTCCTGCAGAAGCAACACAGACATTGTTCTTCACCAGTGTTTGTCCCACATGATTAACAAAGTCTAGCTAATCATCCCCCAAAGAGAAAGCCTGTTTTCCCACAACCAAGGCTCTAAATCCCTTCCCCATCTTCCTTCTGCATATTTGAGTCTTCTCTTTCTTATACAGTTGAAATAACCTAGGTCACATCAATCCTTGATTCCTACATACAGGAGACTATTGTGCCTATACATGTGTCCCAGCTACCATGGAAGTCATAGGTCATCACGCTTATGAAATCAAGGAGCCTGGAACAAGAGATTTGCGCCATCAAGATCCTGGGAGCTTTTTCTTGTAGACAATTTAAGAGTAAGAAATGATAGCAGTGAAAATTCATGATGTCAGGTAGATATCCATATGGGCCCACTACTGTGGCTTCCTGACTGCCTTCCTGTTTTCTTCTGTGACTCCCATGGGCCTAGACAGAAAGTCTCCCTTACTTCCTTAAAAGATTAAAGGCAAACCCAGAAAGAAGTCAAGCAAATGTTGTTAGAAGGGTATGTGTTTCAGAAACACACATCTCCAGGACAATGGGAATCATAAGTGAGTAGCTTTGTCAACAATAGTTTTTGATATTTCACAACCTTTTCCAAAAGGACCTGCTAATAAGGATTTCTATTATATATATCAATTTGGCAAGGTCTTGAAACTTGTTCCTCTTTTCCCCAAGATCCATCATAGTGGCAATTTAAACAAGTCAGAACTTTATTCCAGAGCCACTCATTACCCAAATTTTCTTGGCAATTGAAGGCACCAACTTTTTAAACATTACATAACTACTTGGGGTGCTCGCCACCAAAAAGTTTAGGCATTTCTGCTCTAGGATTTGGGAGCCCTGGGACACTCATCACACTCACTTCCCAGTCTCTGCAATTTTATATCCTGTGTCAATGGCCACTTGCCAGCAGAATCAGCTGCTGTGATCAGCAGCCTGGGATATCCTGTTTCTTTAGCTTCTTCTTCCAAGTGAAAGTGAAAGTCACTCAGTTGTGTCCGACTCTTTGCGACCCTATGGACCCTATGCGACCCTATGTGACCCATGGAATTCTCCAGGCCAGAATACTGGAATGGGTAGCCTATCCCTTCTCCAGTGGATCTTCCCAACCTAAGAATCAAACCATGGTCTCCTGCATTGCTTGGGGCTACTTTCCAACTTATAGCAATTCCCTTATTTCTGGAAATAGCTCCTGAAATACAGGGATAGGTCCTGGTTAGGTGTAACTTTGACCAAAGGGATACAGGCCAATAATACTCCTTGAATCTATTTAATGAATCATATTCATATGATTCCTTGAATCATATTTAATGATAATTCTGAAGAAAAAGCCCAGGCACTCCTGGTAGAAGGTCTAGGAGCTTACTGTGACTTCACTCTCCCTTTTAAAGCTCTAGTGTCTCATTTTTTAAAAATAGCTACACTAAACTCTTCTCTAGTCAATAAACTCTGCTTTATTAACTATGCCAAAGACTTTGACTGGGTAGATCACAATAAACTGTGGGAAATTCTGAAAGAGATGGGAATACCAGACCACCTGACCTGCTTCTGTATGCAGGTCAGGAAACAACAGTTAGAACTGGACATGGAACAACAGACTGGTTCCAGACAGGAAAAGGAGTACATCAGGGCTGTATATGTCACCCTGCTTCTCTAACTTATATGCAGA